CCCCAAAACCCCAAAACCCCAAAACCCCAAAACCCCAAAACCCCAAAACCCCAAAACCCCGACTTCTTACTATCAAATATAATTTTAAGATAAAGGCGAAGAATGGCAGACACCCATCTTGGTGAAAAACTCGTCAATGGAGAAGAAACTAAGGGAAGAGGTCATGATCCTGAAGATGAATATGCACAGGACCTCGAAGCCTCTGCTTATGTACCTAACATTAATTTTGAGATGAACCAGAAGACCTTAACTTCAAGGGAAATCAACCCAAAAGATCTTAGAGGTAAGATCGAAGAATATCTTGAAGATGACAGCATTACTCGGGATCAGGTGAAGTTACTACTCAAACAAGGAGCTGAGGACAATTACCTGTTCATGATCAAAGAAGAGACTTATGATAAACTAGTTGACGCCCTGGGAATGAAGCTCGATCACGCCGACGACAACAACGTCGGAAACATCACAGGCCTCTTGGCAACAGCAAGATTAGAGTATGCTGATGGAATGTCTAAATCTCCAAACATTAGAAACTTAGACTCTACAGCAAGTAGATTTGCTCAATTGATGAAAAGCAGACTGGCATTGAAAGATAAAAGTATTTATGGAGGAAAGCAAAACGCTGCAGGTATTGCTAAAGATCTTACGTTCACCCAAAAGACAAAGGTAGCTATTAACACTCCAGAAGAAGTGGAAGAAGAAGAGCCTCTCAAGCCTGCTGAACCAATGCCACCTGTTGGTAGTGCTCATGCAGCTCAAGAGACTAGCCCTTACTTAATGGAAAGAGTTCCTCGAATGACTAACCAAGGACTTAAGAATAACTTAATCATTGCTGGATTCATTGCCATCTCGATGATATGCTTTGTTATTTGGGCTGTCGTTACATATGTAACGAGAAGAGAGGTCGTAAGACAAATTATTGGATTTCCATTGCTTATCTCAAGAGGAGGAGCTCTTGCAATTATGGTAACTTCTATATTCTTGCTCCTGCTTGTATCTTATGATTTCTTGACATGAATCAGGCCATATTGTGCACAGAATTGTCTATCTTTGCTCGATTTTCATATTCTTTTCCATAAAATTTGTGGATACATCATTCTGTTCTATTCAACCGTTCACACTATTAGTCATTTGTCTTTTTCAGTACCTGCTTTTTCAAATGAAGCTAACAAAGATTTGATGAATGAATATGTTGATAACTGGCATTTTACTGAAACCCCATCCTATATTCAATTGGCAACTACAACAATTCCTGGAGTTACAGGAGTTATTCTGGAACTTACTATTATTGCTATGTATGTGACGTCTCTTGAGTGCGTGAAGAGAAAATCTTTCCAATGCTTCTCATACACTCATATGGCCTTGTTCCCAGTTTTCATGTTTGGTATGATTACTCACGGAGGAGCTAGATGGATTAACTGGAACTTCCCAACTGCCATCGTTCCATTGACTATTCCACTGACGATATATTTCTTCATGATCTTCAGAAGATTACTAATGATGTGCAGGAAGCCTTTCTACGTGGCAGATATTTCGGTTGTTAGCACAAAGAACTTCATCCATCTCAGTTTGGTCGTACCTTCAGGATATACATGGAAATCAGGACAATACGCTTTCTTAAACATTCCTCAAATAGCACCTATTCAATGGCATCCATTCTCTATTGCTTCTTCTCCAAACGGAAACTATCTGAGTTTCTTGATTAAAAGAGCCGGAGATTGGTCAGGAAAGCTCATTGACATGTTCTACGATATCAAAATGGAAAGCTTCAAGGAAACTGTAGAGACATTGGTCGACTCTAAATTTGACAAAGAATTTAGAGAGTATTTGATGCAGATGCAATGTGAAATCACTGACGATATTATTAGAAGAAACAAAGTCCTCTTCCCTAAGGTTTATGTGAGTAGATCTATCTCTGCACCAGCAGAAATGGCAGCTAGAAGGAGAAGAGTTATTCTTATTGGGGCCGGATCAGGAATTGCTCCATTCTTAGCTTTACTTGATGATCAACAAGTTGCAGCTGAAGGAGGAAGAACTAAAAATGGAGTCCTTGCAGCTAGTTACAAAGAAGAGTACAAAGATACCGAAAAGGCTCATCTTATCCTTACTAGTAGAGATGCTGATCAGTTCGCATGGTTATCTCCATATGTTGACAGAATCATGAGTGCTGATGGATTATCAGATAAGGTCGAACTCCATCTTTATTTGACGTCCACAAAATGCAATACACTCCCTTCATTCTTGTTCTGGAGATCTTTCTTGCTTAGAGAGCAGAAAAAGAAGCAAGGACTGCTCCACTCAGCTAACCCAATCATCGGGTCAAAGACCCACTTGAATGTCGGAAGACCTAACTTCGAAAAAATCATCGAAGATATCCATAGAAGAGAACCTGGAGATTTCTTCTGTTACGCTTGCGCTCCAACAATCATCGTCAATCAAGCCATGGCTGCATGCAACAAAATCAGTGAGGAAGGGAAGGACACATACATGCTACGTTACGAGATCTTCTAAGCCTATTCATTGTATAAGAATTGGACAATCCCAATTCCAAAAATCTTTTGTTAATATCGGATGTTTTCCATTTTCATGACATACTATTAATATTTTGGAGTGATTCTTTAGTAATTACGCTAGTAAAATTCAATAATTTGAAATCGATACGGGGTTTTGGGGTTTTGGGGTTTTGGGGTTTTGGGGTTTTGGGGTTTTGGGG